GAGATAGAAGTTTAAACTCTCTCTCTCTCTCTCTCTATTGCTCTCTTGGTTTATATTATTGCGCTGGTGTTTTAGTTGGTAGTGTCGCTGCATGCTCAAACAAACCAATCCAATGTATATCTATGTATATTTGAATCTATACACGGCAACTAAAGCGAATAGAACGGACGTAAGTGCATATGCGCGATCTTTCCGTCCATTGCACTTTATCCAAGCCCGGTTATTTCAGCGACACTGCTATAACTATTATATATTATATATTATATATTATATATATAACCAGTAACTCGTCAGTAAAACCCATATCACTTGAAATTTTATTTTAAATACATCGATATTATTTGTTTATTAAGATTTAGTAGTTGGAAAATTATATGATTGTTTTACCTAGAGATTAGATACTCAAGCATGCGAGTAATGAAAAAATGATAATAAGAGTTGGTTTCGTTGAGTAAGAGCTACGGGAGTACGGGAACACAGTAGGGAATGCCCAGTTGAGTCTTTTATCAGGTTTGCGTGCATAGTAAAGTGGGTATGCACGTATAAATGTATAAATGTATAAACGAGATTCTCCGAGGTCCCGTGCCGGTCGTCGCCTCCTTGGCGAGGTCACGGAAATCGATCGCACTCTCCTATCTCTTTCTCCCTCACCTTTTTATTACTGTTTTAAGACATCAAATAAAATACGACAGCCAAATGCCAGCTATTTCCATTTTATTTGTCGATGCTTTATTTCATGGAGATTAATAGACGGGCTAATTTACTGATGTGTCATTTTCAGGGGATTGTTTCAATACTATTGTCAATTTTTTTACTTCAATTATTCTGGTAAATAATTGAGTTAATTAAGGACAGAGTATTTCGAGCGAAAAAAATTTTTTGAATCAAATAAAATTTATTGAAATGAAAAATAATAATTTAATTAAAATATTTTCTATTCGATGCGTCATAATAATTTTTTTTTTTTTTTTTTTTTTTTTTATCAGTATAGTAAAGTAAACATCTTATTGTAAGAATATTATTAACAAGTCTTTAAGAAATAATGGAAGTAGTAGTTGAAAAATATAAGTACGTGTAAAGAGAGAAATATCAGGAGAACTGAGTAGAGGGATATTATTATATATAGAAGTTAAATATGCGGGGGATGAGCCGTCACCAACACCATCGCTGTTATGTACAGTCCTGCGAATGCGAATGTGACTGTGAGTGTAAGTGTAAGTGTATATCAGGTGGGGAGAAAGACACACTGACATATGGCGTATACAGACGCGGAATAGATTGTACAGCAGAAAGCACTCTGCACACTGATATATGTGAGTGTGAGTATGGGTTCCTCCTCGTCCGGCGATGCGATGCGATGGGATGCGATGCGATGCACTGTGGGGGTGTTGGCCTTCAACTTGACGGCGCAGTTTCACTGACCTGCCTGAGAAACTTGTACTCGCGCCGGCTCGCGACTCGTGCCCACCGACGACGGTACGTCCTATACGTCCAGGAGAGAGAATACCTTTTATTTTTAAAAATCTCGACTCAGCCATACCGAGCTTCTTTATTCTCTTATTCCTCTTTTCCTCTTGGTGATCCTGGTGCGCTAAGGTATGGAATGGAGTGAGTAGAGTGCATACTGTGCGTACCGGCTGCCCTTTTTTCTCATTTTTTATCTCAACTTGTGCTACACTTTAACTCTTATTTTATATATTTATACATTTAAGGTGTACTTGGGATTTTATGGTTTTGTTATTGCCTTTATTTATTGCCCTTTTCGTAACTAAACCAACTAAAGTACTTAACCTCCAATCTCCATCCTTCTTCGTCTTTTTTGTCTTACTTTTATTTTTTACTCTTATAACTTGTAACTTGTAATTATCTCTATTGTTACAACGAAAAGTTATTTTAGATTTTTCAGAATTTTCCCTTTGTCTCAATTGACAGACAGCCGGGGATAATTTTTAAAAAATAGAAGAATAATTTTTAGGATAAGGGGCTTGATTCTTTACAAGTAATTTACATAATATATATATATATATAAGAGCAAAAAAATGCTTTATTTATTTTTATTTTTTGGGATAAATATATGGAAATTGGCGGTTTTTGTTGGCCGGAGAAACGAGGAGAGAAAGTAATTGATGCATTGGCACCGAAATCACTCTGTTGGGTGCACTAAACACAAAAGAACTCCAAAGTATGAGAGCGTAAAAGTATGAGAGATACTTGTGTATCGAGTGGACTGGACTCTGCAGATATGAACGAGAGAAGACTAGCATAATATAAGTATAAGTATATATAAGTATACCAAAAAGACCCTGAAAAGGAATTTCGGTAGGCGTTCTCCATTTCTCGGGGAGCAATTACCAAAGTGCCGCGCACGCAGATGGCTTTTTCGTTATTCGTTACTATTTCTTAATTTTTAATTTTTATTTTCATATTTGCTGCTCCTTTTTTCTTAATCTTTGTTTTATTTTAAATAATAAAATAAGAAATAACTAAACCGAAGATCAGACTCCTGAGGTCTACTCGGCATATGATTTTGTGGAGTCGTTTGTCGGGCCGACAGTTACCATTTGCTCCGGTGGGTAATTCGAAATAACAGAATCCATTGGGCCTCTGTTCCGCCTGACATCCGACCGTAAGATAAATCCTTGTCCTCGGTTCTTACTCCCAATTACCATTTTATTGAACATTCATTATACAAATGACAAGCTTGTACTTTTCAAATGTCAATTTCGGCTCCGAAAATTCCACGTGCCGTAAAAACTACTTGCCGAGTCACTCTAGAGTCTATTGAGAAAAACTCAGCCCGGGATTGGCTTCATGTGTGGCGCATTCGTGATGGACTCGCTCAACTCGCCACTGTATACATATATATATATACAGACACATACATCGATATAGCCATGTATTACACATTTACAGTAGGTACAGGGGCTGGAAAATTCTGGAACCCGTGGAATAACGAGAAAGACAGAGAGAGATTCGGGTTTATATATTGATTCCTCGCGTTACACTTTTATTTTGTTTTATCGTTATTATATTATATATGATGAACCGTGAGAGTAGAGCTTCTGCTTACTGCCTTAACATAATAATTATTATTTAATAAATTTAATAAAATTTTTTAATATCCAGGAAAAAAGGTTGACTTAAGCCAAGAAAATATTTTTCTTTCTAATTATTTTTTTGAGTGGAAAAAATTTTTTTTTTTGACACAAAAAATTTCACTTATTCCAACAAAATTAATTCTCTTGCTTTAAGAAATACGTATCTTGATCCAAGAAAATTTATTTAAGTCAAAAAAATTTTCCTGTTTTGAAAAAATTCAGACTCATGCTCCAAAAATTTAAATATCTCTATAGAAGTTAATTTTCATTAATATTTTTATTGATTAACATGTCAAATGGAAAGATCAAATAATATTGAATCATTTTTTTCATTCAATATGTATAATTGCACGCTAAAATAATATAAAATGGGTATCAAATATTCAAGAGAAAAATTTTCTCAAGGTAAGCAAATTTTTTTCTCAGCTGAAGTAGGTGGCGCTGCTTCTCTAAAGTATCTAAAAATCTTGATAAAATATAAAAATTTATTTTTTCAAGTATTTATGATGATTTGAACTAAGAGAAAAATATTACTTCCATCAAGAATAGAATTTAAAGAAAAATTTTTAAAACGAAAATTTTCTTGAGCTAAGAATTTTGTTCTCCAGTCAAGAAATTTTTCTTTCTGTGTACATCAAGACACTAATTAAAATCCAAAAAATATAACAGCCTGTGATGTCTTTGCCGGATGAATTGAAGCATAACATGCGGGTTAAGTGTTATATTCCTTAGATTACTTCTACTCCAAAGAGACACTATACTTTTATTGTAAGGCTTGTTAATCGAGCGTAACATTATCAGAAGACAAAGTATTGAATATGAATATTAAGATAGAAAGAGAAAGGCTGTCGGTTTAGCGCCCTTTGTCTTAACTTAGTTTGTCGGTTAATTTCGCGATGGACACAGCGAAGGAGCCTACTAGCACAACTACCAAGACTACCACTGGCTCCATCTCCATCTTCATCCAGCTTTTCTTCTCCCTTGTCTTAAGTTGCACACACATAATACACATTTGTGTATAAGTATATAACTACTCGTATTCCACAGTAGCTTAGTACGAGCTCTACACCCGTTCACCAGTTCGTTGGTTCGCTCGTCCGTCCGTTTACGTTTCACCTTGGCCGCGGCCCTTCAACTGTCTACGACCCACGCCCCCTCTCGACGCGTTCTTTATTCTTACTATTCTTGTTGTTCGTCGCGTGGACACCTAACCACTATTATATATTATATATTAAACATACTGCATCCACCACCAACAATAATTTTCCTCTATGCAGCGAGTGCATATTTTCTCTCAAAGGATCAGGATCGTCGGTTTGGTGTGTTTGTAGTGTTGGATTGCCCCGACGACACCGGATCGGTATGCCCGTACCTGCACGAGCTCGAAGCTCTCACCTGCCGATCCGATCCACACATTCTCACATATATACTGGTTGACCCACCGAGTCGTCGACTCAGTTCTGAGGTCTTTCGCCTTCGGGTTCTTCCAGCAATACCAAGCACCAATCTTAAATTATTTTTATTAAATACTTTTTTATTTTTATATTATAAATAATTAAATAAATCGATGCTTGACCTCGTGCAATATTTTATAAATAAATCCATCCAATACTTTTTATTTTTTATATTTTTTCCAAGGTGTGGTTGGTTGCTCGGGCGTTTTTTTCCCGGTGGGATTTTAAAACTTTAAACAGAGTATACGTACAAAGGTCTTGTTACTTTCCCTTGTTGTTGTTGTTATTGTTGATGTTGATGTTTGCGCTGTCTGTTTAAAAAGATTACCCACAGTTCGAAACGTATTTATGTCAAGATTGTTTGTTGGATCCAGACTCCGAACGTCCTTGGGGATTTAAAAGCCTCGACATTGCATTGCATTGCATTGCATTGCCATTTAATGATTTAATGTATTATGCAATTGATTTTGTTTTTCTTTTTTCAAGTGATTTTAGTCAATATTTGGATTTGATTTGATGAATTTTTAAAAGAAGCTTCAGTATATCTTGTATAAAATAAAATAAAGTAAATTGTACGGACACGCGATGGAGTAGCGGAGAATACACGTTCTTATTGAGTATCAGTGGGGTCTATCCTATGGGCGAAGATAAAGACGGGGTATGGAGTGTATAATATAAGTCGCGGATGAGTATGAGAGTGGTTCACCTGCATTGCTAGCATTGCACCGACTCAAGGCCAGAGTCTTCGGGTCCAGAGACCGGGTCGCGATCCTCTTCTTCCTTTGCTCACAACTTCCAGTTTCCTGTCTTTTAGTTATTCTCCTCCCCGAGACGATGCTTCATCTTTACAATTGTTTAGTATTGAAATAATTAGGTAGATTTCTTTAGAAATCTAACTATGAAAGCCGGTTTCATATCGTAATTTTTAGAAAATTTTGTCATAATATGTTTCATTTTATCGAGTACACAGTAAAAAATTTTGCGTCATTGCGTCAAAAAATTTTTGTGTTAAATATTTAATACTTTTATGTGTAAATTTAACATTAATTGTGTTAAATTAACACAGAAAAATATTAAATTAACACAAAAAAGTGTTGAATATTTAACATAAAAATTTTTAACACAAAATTTTTTGACGCAATGACG